TGATGTCAAAGTGAAGCTACATGGTCTTTGTGACAGGAAACATCAGTTCTAAAATTACAACTGAGAATATTTGTTATTACTGACTTGGCATAATAGCCAACAGCAGGCAACTCAGCTCATTCAGAGAAGAGTTGTGGTTGCTGCTTTGGAAATTCGTTATTATGGTTGTGTGTTATTGGATAAATTAGTCAGACAGGAGAAAATATTAGCCTAATGAGGATTATGCCTGTAATACTGAAGATTGTCCACATTAATAACTGCTTGTTAAATAAATGTGTAGAAGTTATTTTTTGATGAATGAGTTTTTTTCTTAACAAATAAAATATTTGTGTTTCAGGTGTACAAGAAGAAGACAGAGACAGCAAAGAAAGAGTATCTGAAACAACTGGCTGCCTACAGAGCTAGCCTGGTCTCACAGGTATAACACACACACACACACACGTATGTGAGGACCAGCCAAAATGTCCTCACTTTCCTAAAATGTTCTCACTCCTTATGGTTTATATTCAAAATGGTCCTCACAAACATATAAGTACAAGTACACGCGTGTGCACACACACACATACACACACACACATCAGATGCAACATATTCACACTTTAAACCGGGGATGGGGAACAGCCTGCCTTGGGGCCAAAAGAGAATAACAAGTAATACCAACACGTCCTTTAGGTGTTATATATATATATAAGTAATGCCATGCGTGGAAACACCAAAGTTAAGGGTTTGTTTGCAGAGGTTTTTTTGAGTAAAACCAGGTATGAATAGCATCATCATCATCAGTACTATCTGACATCAGATGAGAAAAGAAGCTTCTGACCCCCCCGATTCAGAGCGGGATGAGACATGTGGATCTTATGTTTTTTTTCATACATGCTAAAATCAAATAGGAAAATGTCATGAATCACGGGAAATGACTTTCATTGAAAAAGATTTTGAACTGAACTTATAATGTTGATACATTTTGATAAAGTTTCCAGTCATACCTGAGGTTTTTCTTCTTTTGTTGTCAAACACTGCTCTTTTAGACGACTCCTGTGTTAAATGAATAAACAGGTCAGTCCAGAAAGCAGCAAAACTGATTCTCTGTTTTTCCCTCCCCAGAGTTACAATGACCCATCTGAGATGAAGCTGCCCCACTCCTCCTCGTCTTCCTCTTCCTCTACCTCAATGTTTACACCCAAACCTTCAGTCTACCCCGGCCACCCAGGCCAGCACCCTTCCTCCAGCTCACTCTCCCACCCTCACCCTCACCCTCACCCTCACCCTCAGCACCCAGGCATGTACATGCAGTACCCTCACCCGTCCCATCCTTCCCACGCCTCAAGCCCCGGCCTTGGCCCTCACCTGTCCCCTCCTCACACCCAGATCCACCCCCAGCTCCAGGCTTTGTCCTCCAGAGGGACCGTGCCACGGACCAGTGTCCCGCACCAGGGAGCTCTCTCGCTCGGCAATGTGGTGACAGCCTCCACCCCTCCTCTCCGGGTCACCCCTCCCCTCCATAGCCAGGCACACCTGGGAGGACTACACAGTCCACACCACCAGCACCAACAGCTCAGTGGACACTCAATGGGAATGACACACTCACCTGCCATCACACAGGTCAGTTACCATGACTCGCTTTTTTAACTTTTTGACACTTTAAGTCTGATGAGATTTGGATACGACTTACTACCAGTCATAATTACCATAGTGTTTTATATCATGCAGCAAACGTGAAAAATAATTATGCCATATCATGTTTTAGAGTTTCTACTATGAAATTTTAGTTGACCATCTAAGTGATTGCTCTCTCTGATTTTGTAATGCTTAGTAAATTGATTCACTGATGCTTTGGTGACATCTTGACTGATGATTAAAATCATAGATATGTAGAGTCTGATTTGGCAGATGTGGAGATGCATCACAAGTAGAGAATTTTTATTGTAATTTAATGCTCCAACTTATTTGTATACTGCACACTAGAATCTTATTCTATTCCTAAAACACACACACACATACACACCTATTCCTTGCACAATACAGTTCGTCAAAAACCAATCATTTATGTATTTTTTCATGTGTATACAGATTTTTTAATATGGAATTGGGACACACATCTGTACTGTTCAATTTGTGCTTTGGGTCATCAACCTATTTCTCACAAACACACTCAGTATGCACATTTCCGAGAGAAGATACACAGAGGCAGAAGGAGATGAATATATCAACAGAGGAGACAACACACACACTCTCTCACACACACACAGTGGAAATGAGATGGATGTTTGAGTTGGAGAAAATAAATCAGCATTTCCTTGTGGACCTGAGTAATAGAATATAACTGTATTTGATAAGTTGAATAAATGTATTTGGTTTTAAATAATAATAGCATATCTTAATTATTAATCATCATAATAATAATAATAGTAATACATTGTATTTATATAGCACTTTTCAAAGCTCTCAAAGTCGCTGTACATGGTGAAGGATAAAAATAAAGATAGAATAATATCTTTAATAAAATAATTTATAAAAAGAAAAATGATGATAGTGAGGTATACTAAGAAAATAATTGTTCATTTATTAGTCGCTATGACATTTGGTGGTGAATCAGCTGACCTGTAAAAACACAGATAGTACAGATAATGTTATATAGACAAGTCATCATTTTTTGATCTTTCTCTGCTTATGTCTGTCAGTCAGTGATGCTACATCCATACTGCAACTGCGGATATGCTTGGCATCCACACGCTTTTTAGAGCATGTACGTTTTAGAGCCACTATAACTTACAAGTCTGGAAACTCCGCTGGCCCCATGTTTGAAATCTCGGGGCTGCTTTGTAGTCTGGACGGGCAGAAGCGGAGATGTTTGGAAACAATGACATAGACACTCACAACCGCTCGCTGATTGTGTCTTTGCGGTCACTACGTAGCCTACTGATTCGTCAGGCTCTTATCACGTGACAGTAACTGACATTGGCCTCGGCTACCAGTGTCGAATGCAACATGGATAATCAATTTCAAGCGTTGTTGACCCTGTTGTCTTTGCTAACAGCTGCTGTGCAGTTAAATTCTGCATTTTACAATGATCCAACTGCTACTTACTTTTCCCAATTGCTGCTTCTAGTTTCTAGCCTTGCTCTTTCTGAAACTAACAAACAAATGTTTCCTGAGTGCACGTGAGTGGTCACATGGTTTGTGTTTTTAGGTGTGTTAGTATGGATGGGGAATAAAATTGATCTGTAAAAGAGATCATTTTAGTTTGAAAAGCGCAATTTTGAAATGAAAACATAGTGTTACGGATGTAGCCTCAGTCAGTCAGTCAATCACTCAGTTAAACGTTAATCTATCGAGACATGAGGAAGCCAAGTGGCTGAAATAGACGATAAATATGAACTTGTGTTCAGTCTGGTGTGAGACGGTCTTATGGTGTCTCCTCCAAGTAGTTTAAAAAATAGGGGGATGGATTGCCACCGAGTATAACTTCCCATTTCATCCCCCTTTTTATAGAGCACTTTTAAATCCCACTCTCCCGTAATCCTCCATTTTGCATATTCTTAGCAAAGATGGAAAGAATAAACAAAAAAGAGGACACAGTGACAGAGCTCCCAACTTTTTTATTTTCCAAGAGTGGGAAATGATGGGGGAAGGGGGGAGAGAGAGAGGGAGAGAGGAGAGAGAGAGAGAGAGACAAAAGAGGCAGATGGGGTCTTTGTGAAGGAGTGAAGGAGAAGAATTTGCTAAACAATGGATGAATAGGTGAGGTAGAGGAGGAGTGGGGGAGGCGAGGGGGAGAACCCAACCACCTGCTGTCCTCCTCTTTCACTCACAACACTCAGATTAACTTCCCTTTCAGGCTCTGTCTCTCTCTCTCTCTCTCTCTCTCTCTCTCTCACTCCCATGCACACACACTCCTGCACTTTTTCTCACTTCACTCGCTTATTTTTCTCTTTTCCCATCTCTTAAAGTCTGAGACTTTACATTTCCTCTCTGTACCTCCTCCACTCCCTCTCCTCTTACTTTCCATCCTTATTTTTCCTCAGCTTCCTTTCTCCCTCCTGCCAAATTATTCGGTAATTACTGCTGATGAACCTGTGATGGGTCTGTTTCCTTTGCCCTTAAGTTGGGTTCATGTGTCCATGTCCATCAGAAACCATTTCACTGAAGAAGGGCTCTCCGCTGCTTACAGAATAATATACATAGTAAGATGAAAAAATAAGACCAATACATGTAGTAACACTGTGATGCATGTCAAGGATTTACCTTTCGTACTCGATATGATTATATTTTGGCGTCATTACAGGCTTCCAGAATTGTCTAATAGCAGTTCCTGATTTTTAACTATCAATGGATTCATTTGTTAAGGACGAAAAATAAAAAAGGCAACGAATTTCAATTTGCTGGAGTTATAAGGAGCATCTTTGCTTCTCTTGTTTCTAAGTGGATTAATGGACGTTTTGTGTGGCCAACATTGGAGGTAATTATATCCTTGTCTGACATCCCTCTGTGTATGGATTTGACGTAAGATGCATTCATACATGCATTGAACTCCTGAATATCTCCTGAAATTATCCGGAGCAGCTGTATGTGAGAACGCTAATGTCTGAGTCAGTTGCTGAGCACATTCTCTGGAGTTTCTCCGATCAGCCCCTTAATAAAAACTCACTTGGATAACGTTTGAATGAGCCCGTGTCAGAAAACAGCAGGAGATTCTCTGGAGGATTCAGTGCCAGCATGTGTGCATGTCGATTACGTTTCTAACATGCAAGGGACGCAACAATGAAAAAACATAAATCTCCAGATGAAAAAGCAGTGCCATACATGTAGAGACACCGACAGAATCATCTCCACAGTGGAATTTATACATTACGTCCATGCATATTGCACCACGCCCCCTTGAACTCTCCGCAGATTTTTCTGTTGTTGAACATCTCTGACTGGTCCGGACCCCATCGTGTGGATAATCCATGGATTTCATGTCTGAAAACGACTTTGGTAATGACTCTAAGAAAGAGTTCGATTTTATTAGCAAATTGCAGCGCTAAAGCTAATGTTACACTTGTGACATAAAGTTTGTAGTCAGGGGATGTCCATGTGCCCTCCAATTTGTTGTGTCCAGGCTGACTTGTCTTCACCAGTTTGCGCAGCCACTAAGCCACGAGGGCACCAACTGCTCATGCACTCCTCCTAGTGGACTAGAAATAAGTATACTCAGAACAACTGGTGTCCTCAGCTGTCCGTATGTGTGTCTGCAAGGGAGTAGAATTGAATGAAGGATTACTGACTCTCCGAGAAGACATTCATAGTGTAGTACTCGGTTGTTAAACTGAGACACACAGCTACATAGTTGGCCAATCACAGTATGAAGTGAGTATGGTTTTGAATAGTTGGTTTTGGGAAGTTTTGGACACACTCCCAAATCTAACATCATCTAGGTGAATGATTTCCGACACAGGACTATAAACCACACCCCTGCTGCTGAGAGTTTGGTGTGTGAGATCACTGCATGTTTGATAAGAGAGGAATTACTAGTGAACACATGTGGCAACTCAAGAAGTTAATTGCAGTGTTTTGCCAAATCAGTGATTAAAACCACTTAGAGAAACATCTGGATGCATCTCTTCTCCTTGGTGAGGTTCGCCTCACAGTGTGCCTGGTTGTGATAGACAGCTGCTCTTCAAACTCTGCAAACCAAAACCACACTTCCATGGCTGTTATCAGACTCTATCAGGGTCAGCTTTAAAATCCACCAACCTTCATTGTTGTAGGAACATAAAAATGCATCTTGTCTTGCAGCAGCATTGCTCATCTGGTATCACACACAACTGTGTATCAGCAACTGGAATAATATAACTCTGTATGAATTGTATGTGAATGGGTGGATTGCAAAACTGCCCTGTAAAGCGTTTTGAGCGATCATGAAGAAAAAAAAGGAGCTATATGAGTATTGATCTTTTACATTAAATGTTTTATTTTTTATTCCAGGGCTACCTTCCCTCTCTCCGGTCTGACTACCAGCAAATAGGAGGAGGTATGCTTAACGGTGGAGCAGTGATGTCATCATCAGTGGACTACCACCAGCTGGGTCGACACACACCAAATCACCACCCCTCTCTGGACTGGAGCACGGATTACCATGGCAACGGGTAGGTAGAGTCATTGACCATGATGGGTTTTTAAAGAGTAACTTATGAACCTTAACCCTCGTGTTGAATTTGATACAATCCTACATCCTGGTATCAAAACAGGACCAGGTCTAATCCAATGTAATCTATGTCAGGACTGTGTCTGGTCAATGTGTGAAATTGAGGATGTGTAAACAATGAGCGGAGTCCAGTGCATGTCTGAAAGCAGCTTTAGAGGAGTCTGAACTTGTGACCTGCTTTTACTGACAGAAGCGAATGTTTGTCCAGAACGTCGCTAGATTTGTTGCTTTATCAAAAAAGAGTTTTCGTAGAGATCCTGAAAGGTCTGTAAATCTAGCAACAAAGGCGCTGAGTTGGCAACTGTCCCTATACAC